TTAATTCTATTAATTCCAATAGTTACTCCACTATAAACTTAGAATTGCACTCTCAAAATTATAGATATAAATTACTTCTAAACTGTGAAGTGTCCATTTGATATAGTCATTGCATATAGATCAATCCCCCATAAATAATTCATAATTAGAGCTAGGTAAAATCCGTTAACCTCTCAAATTACTTCTTTATCCATGAGTATCATTGATTCTCTAATGGACAGTGATTCATAAAACACATTCATGAATCGGAGCTCCTACTGGTCCAAGTACCGAATCAACCCTCAAGAGAATTATTTATCTACTTCTTTCTTAAGAAGGAATGGATTCCATCTCGTGTAATAACATTCCCGGCTACCTAATTCATCATGTCTCCAAAATACAAGGAATATGATTCAGGATCTCAGAATCCGTACAGAGTAAATCAAAAGACACAAATCCATAAATAGGAGTCTGTTAAGAACTCAGGATTAAGACCATCCTATATATGACCATCGATAGACTCAATTAGAATTTCTTTACTTAACGGAATTATTAGAAATTCATATTGTATCTGTGTCCTTGTTCCACATAATCTTATTATGTGAAAAATACTCATTCAATATCTCACCATATTAACAGTGCGGATAACACCGTTCCATTCTAAATGGGAATGACATGTATTAATAATGTTTTAATTAAAGATTCCGAACTTTAATTAAATTTATTATGAACATTACTTTTTGATTATTATCCTTAAAAATTATCCTCTCGTATATAACACTTACATACAATGTTTAAGATTACATAAATAACCATGAAATTTTCATTGATATTCATAAAATATTCATAAATATATGCACATAAAATAATGAATAAACTCTTTTATTAAATAAATAATAAATATCCTATTACATCTCATGCTTCTAGGACACCATTCCCAACAGGAGATGTCTCGATTACCATATGCATCAGAAGTGGGTAGCTTAATGTTCGCTATAATTTGTACAAGACCAAACATTGCACAAGCAATGGGAGTGGTTAGTAGGGACATGGTGAATCTTAGTAAAGAGCATTGGAATACTATCAAGAGGATCCCAAGATACATAAAGTACCTCAGATGCTGCATTATGTTATAGAGGATCGGAGTTTACTGTCAGGGGCTATGTGGATTCAGATTTTGCAGGTGATTCAGATAAAAAAAATCCACTGCATGCTATAGAGCTGTAAGCTGGGTTTCGAAACTGCAGTCAGTTGTAGCGTTATCTACAACAGAAGCATAATACGTGACGGCTACACAAGCTTGTAAGGAAGCAATTTGGATTAAAAGTTTATTGAAGAAGCTTGAGCACAAAGAAGAGAAGATTCTTTTATTTTGTGATAGTCAGAGTGCCTTGCACATTGCAAAGAATCCAACCTTTCATTCCAGGACGAAGCACATAGGAGTTCCATTTCACTTTGTTCGTAAAGTAGTGGAAGAAGAAAGTGTGGATATGCAAAAGATTCACACAAAAGAGAACCTAACAGACGCATTGACCAAGCCACTAAATACTGACAAGTTCAAATGGTGTAGATCCTCGTGTGGCCTAACTGAAACGTAAGCAGTATGGTAGCAACAAGGTAGAAAGGATGGTGTGGAGACATGATTGATTCTCAATCAAATCTCCAAGTGGGAGAAATGTTGGATTAGGCTTAGGCCCAAAGGCCCAAAATTGGAAAAGCCTAAGGCCCATGATTCAAAATTTACAATTAGAGAGAATGTTGTAATCATCATTTTTCATAGTCAAATCCTTCTACACTTGTCCCGTGATTTTTACCTCGTCTCTTTTAGGAGTTTTTCACGTAAAATATTGTGTGTCCATATTATTTTTATTTTTACTCATTTCTTATTTTATTGCCAGATTTATTAACATTTTTTTTTTTTCCGATAAAACATGAATGAAAGAAAAGGCATTTGAACATAAGGTCAACTTAAGGATATGGAGGAAGAGAAGTCAAATAAAAGGAGAACACTACATAATAGAATTAGCAAATCGGTCCGAATCAATATGGAAATATACAATCTGACAAGAATGATAACTTTAACTTTTGATTAGGATGAATTATCTCAGCAACATATTTTTTTGATGAAAAATGCTAGCGACACTTTTTTGTCATTCTCTAGATTTATTATTTGACACTTAAACTCCATTAAAGAACATATTATTATTTAAACAGAAAATAAGATAGCAGAGTCCATATATCAAATAATGAATATAGAGAGTGACAGAAAGAATGTCGTTAACATTTCTCATTTCTTGAATTTGAACGTGTCCTATTATGTTAATCTAACTCGAAGAACTATCAAATTGCTTTCTCCCTCTTTAAAGCTAAGGGCAGAGCTCCTTAAAATCAGCACATGAACAATAGTTTACAAACGAGGAATCATAGGAATAGGGGAAAAATTAAAAAGTTCAGCCATCCATTATTGAAGAACATTCAAAAGCCCTGGTGTTTAAAGAATCTTTACATTCATCTACAGATTTTCACCCAAAAAAAAAAAAAAAAAAAAGGAATCGGAGACTAATAACAAGAAATAAAGAAAGAAAAAATAACCTAACAAAAAAAATGAAAAAATACACACACACACACACACTCAGAAGTAACAAATTGAAAGAATCGCCAAAACAAAAAAATAAAAATAAAAAAAATCTAAGCATCAAAAATGAAAACAACAACAACAATAATGATATTGATGGTGAGGACAGTCTCCAAAACTTGAACAAAAGAAACAGCCCAATTATACTCGTGAAAAGAAAATAAGCAATGTAAATCAACGATTCACCAAAAGTTGAGCATGAGGGACATGATGAAATTTAGAAAACTAAAACCGCCAACCTTTGAGAGACTCACCTCTGAGCGCGTCCAATTCAGTCACGCAGAGAGACGTGAAAAGGAAACACCATCATTTATCAAGACAAAATTCCAGGAGAATCGAAAGATTTTTTTTTCTTTTTTAAGGCAAGTGAATAGAAACTTTTTTCTTTTTCTTTTTCTTTTGAAGAGGAATAGAAACCATTCCACCCATAAGAAATAAGTTGCACACAAAAGAAAAAAAAAAAAAACAGAAAAATACAAATATTACTCTTTATGTCACTCACCGTCATCTCATACATTTACTGTTTGACATATAGACTCTACTATCTTATTTTATATTTAAATAATAATATATCATGATAGTAATGTTTACATGTCAAACAACACATGAATGTATAGAGTGGTAAAAAGAATGATAAAAAAAGTTATGTTAATATTTCTTAAAAAGAACATACACGAAACCGCTTTAAGAATTTACGAAACATATTTATTCTTAGACATGTGGAATAGATAGGTAGGTAGAAGGGTAGAAAAATATTAGATAGATATACGAATGTGGCGCATCAACGACAAGTTGTTGCACACCTGAGTACGTGGGTTTGTTTTAATCCAAAATTAAGTCAATGTTTCATTAACAATCATTTTGACTGTGCTTGATTTCCAACGTACTGCTCTTGCAATATTTAAGTGAATCATAATTATATCACAAAACCTATGTGAAAAGATAACTTGCCAACCTCTTTATATACCTCTACGTGTGATGCGAGTGTCTAAGCTAGATATCCCATCTAGGCAAGTTAATACTGGCTATGTTCTTAACCCTTTCCGTTGGTGTTCAAATTATGTCACAATTTTATTTTATTTTATTTTAGAAGAATCTTGACATAATTCTTGTGGGAAAATGAAATTACAAAGTTATCCCTAGAACTCATGCTAAATGCCAGATTCGACATCATGACAATTGAAAAACTATACCTCGTGTGGCTAAATCAATGAAAAGTCTTTCAGTGTGTCGAGTGACAAACACCCAAAATCCAAAACCAAAAATTATTGTCTTTACTGTCTCTAATACTTCCAAGTTCCATATTATGTAAAGCTTTTGTAGATGCTCAAATCCATGTGCAATATGAGCTAGGAAATATATTCACGTAGGTAAACAAGTACAAGAGCACCCCAACAAAAATAAACAAACGAAAGAAAGCTGTGCTACCCAGCCACAACGCCAGAGTTATATGAAACTCTCCATAAGAATTACAATAACCGTGGGTGGACAGATACAAAAGATAATCATATTCTGGTCTTAAATCGAGACTATAAAGCGTCGATAAAGTGTTGGTTTCAGATATTCCCGTGGGAAACATGAGTTGGGATTTCTCCTTGGTTATCCAAGGGCATGTACTGTGCCATAATTGCCCTTATCTCTGAATCCATGTATCTCTGCGCAAAAAGAAAAGAAAAATGTTGAAACAAACAAAGGAGCATCTTTGCAAGTTTTTTCAGTCTGCGGAATTCAAATTAAGTCGATTAGAGTTTACGAAGAAGATAAGTCAAGAAGTATCTATTTGCTTCCTTCCATCCCAACCAAATAATCAAATAAATACATAATAGTATGGAAGCACACATAGATAATATACAAAGATGTAAATGAATATGTCCACACACGTATTCTATCATTTCATTCACACATAAATGTGTGCATGCATATGCATACATCAATGCATGTATAAGCACATTGGCCTTTTTTCAGTATAAATGATATAAATGATATAAAAAGGATCTCAACAAAATAACATTCATCATACCCGGATTCTGTACTTGTATACTGCATATGCACAGACCCCAACAGCAGCCAAGCATAGAATAATAAAGAAAATACCTCCCATGCTGAGCCGTACAGAAGACTCTACAGTTGCTGCTGTTTTCCAAATAGACAAAATTAGACGGTTAAAAAGCGAGGAAAAAAAAAAAAAAAGAAAGACGCACTCAAGGAAACTATTAATCTAGGGCTATAACTTTTGATCAAAAGAGCAAACTAAAAGCAAAAATATTATCTCCAAAAGTCCCAATATTCAGCAAGATGCAAATACAAACTCATATCTGATCGTAGAGAAGAACATGGTCCAACACAATGAAAACAAGAAACTCTTATAAACTCACATATGCACGTGTCATGTTCCTGCATATAAATTGAGCCACCATTACAGCTGCAATCATAACTTCCCCACGTATTCTTGCATTTGCAATCCGAGCATTGGCATGCAACTTTCTCCTTACACTCATTGATATCTGGAATGTGCAAAGAAGAAACTCACCTTTAGTTTAATGATACAAGCAACATTTTTCTTTGTCTATTAAAGCCACAAATTAAAGCAAATATATGGAGTGATAATCATTTCAGAGGAACTACACATTCACCCATCTGACAAAATCCCTATAACAGCAGGGAACAGAGAAGCGTTAAGGATAAAAAAGAATCATTTGAGCATGAAACACAGGCAGAGCACGGAATTTGTTCCTATTGGGGGCATAAGCTAAGATAAAATTAGAACAAAAATAACAAATAATAATCTATTAGTATTTTTTTTTTTTTTTTTTTTGTTAACTACTATTTTTCCCCCCTTTTCTCAATGGGCCATCAGCGCTTGTCCTTTCTCCAATGTGCCAACAACGCTCCAAGTATAGCTGTGTTTTAGCATAAAACAATGTGGCTCCGCCACACATAAATATTATACAAACACTAAATTACAAGTGGTTCACAAATGTTGCTCGTGACGTTATGTAAACATCGGCAAAGCGAAAGCTAATACCTTGTACCTTACTAATAAAAATCATGATTTAATACATTAATCAAAGGGAAAGCGGTAGTGAGTACCTTCACAGCTATTCACTCCATCACCTTTGAATCCTGGCGGACAGTTGCAACCTTTTGTATGGTCATCCTGAACATCCATCACAAATAAACTAGTTCAAATAAAAACCAACTTCCACAATCTGTTTTGCGTTATTTATTCACTTATTTAGCTTTCTGAAAGATGGACAGAGGGATGTGATTTCAGAACATATCATTGCAGGAAAAACTTACGACACATGCAGAGTAAGTCTTGCCATTTTGGGTTTGCTTCCAGCAACCTCCATTGTTGATTTCACAGCGTAAAGGACCTGAAGCTGTAGGGTGAGAAAAGTATATAAATAACAATTTCAAGAATTAACGAGAAAGATATAAGAAGTACAACAGACAGTTTTTCAATAATTCCAACTTAAAACCCAAATAAAACATAGACCACACTTTTACAATAAAAAATGGAACTTCTACCACGTGCAGATGCTTGATATACCTTTTTTTCCCCTCTAAAATCAACAATCACACTTTTTGAGCCTAGAACTTGCGTTGTATTTGTAGAACAAAAAATTTATCTATAAAATAAACAAGCAGTTGAAACTCCTCTAGGAGATTGTTTGTGGATCCACTACATACATCCCAAGCTTATGACCAAGGGGGAAAAAAAGGAAAAAAAAAATCTAAACTCACGCGTCTTATAAAGCATTTACCTTGACAGTGAGTATAACCATCACCCACAAACTTTACACCCTGCACAATAGGGCATTCACACACTCTTCCCCGGAATGTATCCTAAGAAAAATAAAATGGTGCTCAGACAAAAGCTAGGAAAAAAATAGATTAAGACTTGAAAAGAAATCAAAAGATATTCCCCAAGATCCTGCATGATCAAACCCATTTGATATCATGCTAGTGAAGATACCTGGCATGCAGTAATGTTAGCAGTCTTGTCCTGCCAGCAGCCACCATTATTTTCCAAACACTCATTCGTCTCCACATCTGCATTAACAGATTAATAAGGGATTTCAATAAAATCATAACAAGTTTTACTACCCAAATTGAGATCACATATAAATAAGGGAACCATTAATAATACTATAGAATATCTTCTGCTAAATTTAACATCAAGTGGTTGTTGATCATTGTAGCCCATTGCACGGAAAGAGAAGAAGTCAAGTGGAACCAACTTAGCTCATCAAAAGGAACCAATAGTATGCTGACAAAAATGAAATTTTGGTGGCCCTTTTTGTAAAAGGTTCAATAAGTTATACTATGATTTGATTTATTTGCTGAAGTGAAGTTGTGGGACCATTCTCAATTAATATCAAGTACAGAGAAGGGAAGAAATTGATGGAAGACATAACAGGCGCATTCTTTTCAGTCGAGTTGAGAACTTGAGTTTAAATGCAAATTTATGTGGTAGAAAACACTGTAGCAAAAAAATAAATTGGAATGTTTGTGATAGAAAACAACTGTAGCAAATAGTTCAAGTTGTGATTTGAATTGTAAAAAAAACGTGCCCAACAAGAATGAGCAGACACACACGTGAAGAACTGAGCTTCCCATGCACACCTGTAAAATGTGAACTACGAAAACAAAAATATAGAATGGATGTGGGAAAAGGCAAGGTGAAGACCTTCACTTAGACAAATGGCAGGTTCAGTGGTCTCTTGGAAACCTGAACATATAGCCTTTAGAACTGCTCCTTTGTCCAACTTCCCTATAAACCAGTAAGCATGCGTTAGAGCAAGTCATACACATGTAGTTAAACAGCTAGCAAGATATTCCAAGAAGCATTGAGACCTCTGTATTGTCTTTGGTTTATCACAAGAGTCGGCAATATGGTGACATCTCCTCGGGAGCCTTTGCCTATCTGAAACCAGAATTTTAAGTTTTCATTGTAATATGCTTGTATGCACATGTATAACAATAACAATAACAATATTAATAATAATGACAATTACTAATGTGAAAAATAAAATGCACGATGAGTAAGAACATCTAATACTAGTTTTTTTTTTCCCTTGGCTAAACAAACCACGTGCTTAATATTTAGAAGATAAGAATAAAGAATAAATCACCAATCAAAAAAACTATTTCACAAGCCCAACCTGTGCATCTTGCTCAGCTTTAAGAACCGGATTTTCCTTATCCGCGCCAGGATCTCCAACACAACTTTGTATATTCTTGAGATCAACACCTTCACAAGATTTCACAAAAAGAAGAATATAATAAAGAATGATCCATTGCAATCTCAAAGTCCTAGAAGGATAACTTGCTCTTATCTTTAAAGTGACATGACATCAAAACAGGTTTCTGTTTCCTGCTTCCTAGTGAAATCAGACAAATGGATGATGCTAAGAAATTTGTTTGGATAGGAGCAATTTAATCATGGAGCTTCTGCTTAACCAGACTAAAAAACTCAGAAAAACTGCATTAGTTTTATAAGAAAACAAGTCGTCTTACTAATTAGTTTTCTCAGATTTATAACAAAAGAACTTAACAATGATCAATGTCAAACTAGGATCTAGAGCGGAAAAAACAATTGCAAATATTTCTCAAGTGGAAAATTGCACATATATTAGCCATAAAAGAAACGATAAAACACCATATTGCCAAACTAGATCCTCGAAACAATAGTAGTACGAAACATCAATTCATCGTCATATTACAATAAGCCCTTGACATTAAAAACGAAAATATCACAAAAATAGGAATGAAGAAACAAGTAGCAATTGCTAGGTATGAACTTTTGAAAATGTTGGAGGCTAGTAAAAAAAAAAAAAAAAAAAAAAAACAATATAAGCGAAGAAACATATATACAATTGAAAGTTGGTGCATTTGGTATACCAAATTTAACCACGACCTACCAAGGGATTCAATAACTTTGTTTGCACATTCTTCATTGTACTTCTTCTCTTTCATTGGGCAACGGATTCCAAAGTCAGTCACATAGTCCCACCAAAGCCATGGCTTTCCACTTTCATTGGCAACTTTAAAGAAGCAAGCTTGACGAAGATTTTGAATCACGACATCCTTCCCATCATAACCTCTACTGAAATCCTGCTCTGGGTCAGGAGCGCAGTATCTTCCGTGATTGATGCATTGAGACTTGCACTGTTTGCTCACAAGAAAAGCTTCCGGGCAATACCAAGTTATGTAGTGAGGTGTGAATTGAGTGTATCCTTTTCGCTCAAGTATCTGAGCTGCTCCTTTAAAGCTCTTGGCAAACTCTATCTGGCTGTCACATTTGGGTCCACATTCGTCATTGCTATTTGTCCACAATTCATACTCAACCCGCTCATCAGGATGTGGAAGAGCCTCTGTCCAATCAAGTTTTATGTTGACCATATCCTTATCGGATAAGGCTTTTCTGATGCTATCTCCCAAAGATTTGCTAATAAGGGCTGAAGGGATGGTGATCTTTTGCAGATAATCAGCATCTGCATTTTCTTCTTCAGGATTGTCCATGGTAATCAATGGCTCAAACTTGTCATCAGCAACAAGAATTGCCGCTGCTCCACCATTCTGTGCATTCCATGCCTTCAAAGTAAAGAAACAATCTGCCAAGACAGCATTGAAGAAACATGTATCAGATAGATGCAGAAAGCGCCTATAATTTTTTGCACAAGATTCCTCAATCAAATATCTAACTGCTGCCGATGAACCATCAATATCACCAAAGAAAATGGTGACTAGATATCAAAATTTCCACAGCCACAGAATTGGTTGAAGCAATGTTGTTTATCACCACTGGCGATCTTCACCATACCTTCTGAGAAATAATAATATTAAAATGTCAACTCTGAGACTAACAAAGAATCCTAATAACCCACCCAGCTTTTACATGTCAATTTCTAACGGTTTAAAACCAGTTACTGATCACCAATAGTGATAACTAGCATTTTTTCAATTGTTAATAAGAAATAAAATTAAGATAGCCTTATTTTAATGGGTGGAATTTGGGTTTTTAAGATTGTTTGGCAGGAGGGATTTGGAGAATAAATGGACTAGGCGCGCGATTCACAATCATCCAAAAGACCCCAATTTTTATACCTCCTAATTTGGAGGGATTAAAAATGAGATCATATTAACTTTCCTTTCTCGTCTCCTACCAAACACTACAAGAAAATGGCCCGCTCCCTCCCTCTCTATTTTCATCACACCAATTATCTAGCTCTCCCTCCTACCAAACATAACACATCAAAAAGTTTGAACCCCTTAGATTCTTATAATTCTCAAAACAAAGTCAATGAACCGTCTAGGTCAACTAATACATGATCAAAGTTAATCATGTCAAATGGGTGCTTCACATGGCTTACACAAGTATAGATATCTATAAATCTATATCCAATCTAATTAAAAATAAATAAACAAACAAAAAACAAAGAACCACCGATAATCAATTAAACATAAACAACTAATACAATCACATAACTAACTAAAAGAAACTATGAAAAAAGAAAAGGAAAAAAAAAACAAAAACTTTGTTACCTCCTCTATCGGCAAGGAGAAAAGTTGGCAAACCACCGGGCTTGGATTTGAAAGAAACACTGAAATCCTCAAAGTTTTTGCATGCTTTCTGATTGGCCTGAGGATAAACCACAGTCCCAACCAAAGTTCCTCCGTATTGAGGAACTCCAAAATTCCCAATTGCGCATTCGTAGACGCCTTTCAATGGATTCGGCGAAGTGACTTTCAAGCTGTTCTTCTCCACCACGAACCTTCCCACCACACACGACGACCAAGAAACAAATACCAAAACGCAAACCAAAATCCCTAGCTTTTCCCTCATCTTTTATGGCAAAAACCCAGATCAATATAACACCAATTCTAATGATTGGGGCAATTTCGAAACCAGACTTCGAAATTAACGATCACGAGAGCTGAACTCGATAAATTAATTCTAGAATATGGGTTTTCGTTTTTCGGAAACCCAGAACGGAGATTCCAACGTTTGTTGTGGAAAGCGATTTTGTCTTGGGTTTTGTGAGCTTTTTGTCTGGGCGTCTTCTTGACAAGAAGAAAGTATCGGTAATGGGGAGCAAAAGAATTTGGGCGAAAGAACAGTATAATTGTCAAATTCCTTGAATAAACAAGCAAAAGCAGACGGAAGTTCCAAATATTTAATCAAATTCTCAAAGACAAAAACCAAGTTTGGCTCCTTCGATTTTCGACGTAGTTCATCCAATTAACCTTAACCGACATCAGTAAAGTCTTAAATATATACAGGCGACGAAAGTGATTTTCTTTCCCTTTTTTACTTTGTTCTTTTTTTTTTCCCCTGCCTCTATCATTTTATTTTCTTTTTGGTAACTTCGAGTATATAGACATTTTAATTCCTGAATTTTTAATTTTAACATATGACCTAAGTTTTCAATTTTTGTTAGTTTTGTTCCATGATATTAAAATTAATGAATAATTTTTAAAATTTTACATAAATATACATTATGTATAAAAATGTAATTCTTTCCATAAAATTATAAGTTTTTATGCGATAGATACGTGATTATTGTTAAATTTCAAAAATCGTTAAATCAATTTTAATATCAAGGACAATAACAGTCAAAAAAACAAAAATTAATGGATTAATAAGCCAAAATTAAAGGTTTCGGATAAAGTTAAAAGACTATTTGTGTCAATTACTCTTTTTTTTTATAGATATTTCACACATTTTCCTTGTAAACTTATAGGGTTTCATAATTTTTTAATTTTACAATTTACATATCAACTTGTAAAATTATTATAATGAGTCTCATATAGGTAATGATTGTGTTTAATTAGTAACCTAAACATGATCGACAAAAAATTCTAATATCTTAATTCAAAACCATAACACAAATTTCTCAATTATCCGTTTGTTTAATGTGTTTAAACTCATGGTTTTGATTCTATTATAGCGTTTTTCTCTCATAAAAAATTTAAAGTTCAAATGCCAGAATTAAAAATCAATGATTTAAATGTATAAACTAAACGGGCCCGAAGATCCTACAAATTTAGAGATAAATGTGTAGAACTCCTCATTCTTTAATCCACTAGGCAACTCTTATAAGTTGTTATTAAACAAATAAAATATTCAATATTATAAAAAAAATTTCCTAAAAATAAATTATGCAATGTGTTACAAATTGAAATAACAAATTACCAAAAATTAGAAGTCTAAGGGTAAATTATGAGGATCATACAAGTTTAGAGATAAATGTGTAAAACTCCTCTCTTTTTTATTTTTAATCCACTCAGTTACTCTTATAAGTTGTTATTAAACAAATAAAATATTCATTATTTTAAAAGTGTTTTTATATTTTCTTTGATTTATTTTGATCAATATAGTCCAATTTTTAATTAATATAATAACGACAATAAATTTTATGACATATTTTTTGTATTATATTCAATCATGATAATTAAATTAAACTAATTACAACTAATTTTAATTGGTTACTCTCAAAAAAATTAATTAATCTTAGCGTGCATAATGTATACTAGTTGGAACATGTGCTTATTCCTTTAAATATTTTTAGATTTGAGGATATAAATTTTTTTAAAAGTTTTTTTTCCATGATTTAATATTCTCTTAAGAGTTTAGTTTCGTAAAATAATATTTAAATAAAACATAATCTAGAAAAAAAATGTAGAAAAATTAAACAATAAATTATTTAGGATATTTATCAATAAATAATATTTAGTAGAGCCATAGAAGAAAAGTATCTAAATTGGGGATATATTTAAGAAAATTGATTTAAATGGAAATTAGGAAAAAATGTATTTATAAAAGTTATATCTAAAAAATGCATTCGACAATTGCAAGTTAGATTCATACACTATAAAATTTTTATTTAAATTCCTTTTGTACTTGCCAATTTAGTTAATTCAATAGTTTTTTAAAGGAAAAAAAAATAAACGTCCATGTTGTCAAAAACACTTAAACAATATAATAATTAAAAAAAAAAAAAACCTATTGGCTCTCCTATTATAAAAACTATTGGTTGGAAGAAGATATAAAAATGCGTATATGTTTTAATAAATTAAAATGTTCTTATTATTTCTTATGGTAATTCGAACCGATACATATTTAATTATGTCTAAAAGTAATTAGCATTGTGCCTTAATTGTGTGTTTATGAAGTTTAGATATATTATTGATTTGGCGTGCTAACGTGAGTGGGGATAAAGAAAAAGAAGGATCCATGTGGGGGCTTCTAAGTGATATTTATTGTAAGTCTATCAATTAATCTTTCTCTTACTTTTATTTTTTCCTTTCTACGTCCTTATAATCTTTTCCTTTTTTCTTTGCTAAAGATTTACGTCATGATCTATACCCATGTGTATTTGCTGTGTCATTATTACGTATGTCTAAAACAATAATAGAACAGCGTTTTCTTTTCCCGCTAGTGCATGCTAATAATAAGTGTTTAGCGTTTAGTAACTTAGATTAATTTGTCAATTTGAATAAATAGAACCTTAAATTTGAAACCTATCGCAACCGAGATCTAATAATATGCCTCATAAGTACTAAACAAAATGCAACATAAATTTTTTTGTTAATTGGGAAATTATAATCCAAACTTTTTAATTTGACATTGAGATCCTAATTATTGTACATTAATTGATAGTTGTTATCGATTAAACTTGGCAATACTGTGTCGCCATGGATGATCAAATTTAGGTCCTGAAAGACGATTTTGAAGTTCGAAATCTAACTTGCAAACTGCTAGTTTGGGGCACGAGGGGAAAAAGAAAACCGTTAGTTTGGGGTGCATGAAGGGTGCATGGGGCACTTTTGAAGTTCAGTGCAAAGGGTGCAAAGGGGCTTTGCAAGCCAACCCATCGCGAGTCGGACCCCGTCATGAGATAGAGCGTCCTCCCCATCACCACCATCGCAAGTTGGAGCCACTCGGGCCTCATCACAAGATGAGTCTCTTTTCATGGTAAACTAAACCGAAATAGTAGAAAATAGGTCAATATGAAAAGTTTAAGAAAGTATATAGACCAATTTTTAGTTATAGAAATTAATAGGTCATAACTTGTCAAGTTATGGTTCATAACCATATAAGTTATGGATAAACTTGTTAAGTTATGGTTCATAGCCAGACAAGTTATGGACAAAAACCGTGAATTATGGACAATAACTTGTCAAGTTATGGTTCATAACCAGAAAAGTTATGGACAAAAATAATAATTTAGCCTATTTATTAATTTATATAAACTATTGGTCTATTAATTTTAATTCATCTCAAGTCTTGACATATTTATCTCTTTTTCCCTAAACTAAATGAGCTATGAGAAATTAACATAAACAAAAAGCCTTCAATTGCAAACATTTAAATCGCCCAAAAATCATTTTGTTAAAATTAAAAGAATAGAAATTAAATTATCACTTACAAAATAGTTCGGGTTATTTTTTAAGTAATGATTGGTATACATCACAATTTTAAAACACGCTATCTAAACTTTTTTTAGAAAATGACAATTTCTAAACTGTGAACACGCTTTATTAGGAATAGAAGCTCAAAAGTAAAATTAAGAAAATACAAACAGTAGACGATTTTATCTTTTTGAAATAAACAACAATATGATGAAAATGAGGAGGTATGAACAAGAGCCAGATGCAACATCCAACCCCTACTCCCGAAGAGGCTTTCGTATCACAATCCGAGTGAAAGGGTCTAAAATATTGGAGTTTCGCTTGTAGGTCCTGAAAAAATAATTTAATAAAAAGTCGGTTTTCAGTCGTTAAATTTGTATCAAAAACTTTGTATTCCGCATGTTTTGTATCAAAAACTTTGTATTCTGCGTACTTTTTTAATTTGATGTTTTACTATGTTTTGTATCAAAAACTTTGTATTCTGCATACTTTTTTAATTTGATGTTTTATTATAGTCAACTTAATTTGATGATTTACTATATTCAACGGTTAGAAACTGATCGTATATGGAGGGAGACCCTATTAGAGAAACTCCTCCAAAATATATCTTTAAGTGTTGAATGCTGTCAGAAAAAATATATATAGAGTCAAATAGATATGCCCCTAATAGATCCTCTAAGAAAATGAAACGTGGGTATCATGGAGATGTTAAGTCCAGTTCAGGAATAAATTCTAGAAAGCGGATTGAATGACATAGAAATGGATCGGCAAATAACCTACAAACATGAGATTGAAAAAAAAAAAAAAAAATCAATTGCCCCCTGTAAGTGGCATTTATCGGAAATACTTGACATCAGAAGAGCAAAAAGGAAATCAGTTGCATATTTCAGATCAGATAAGATGAAGTACACGAGTTAAAAGAGTGTTTGTTTCCTTGATATATAAACGGTCAGACCACCATAGTTTAACTGTAAAAATTTATCTAGTATTTATGTTTCTCTTTTTCCTCTCCTCGCATTCACATAACCTATCACCTACGCTTTTCATATTGTACAACAGTATCTGTAAATTAAAATTTACAGGGAGCAATGGTATCCATTTTCATACAATTACAAGACAACACCTATTCCCGCTTATCTTCTTCAAGTGCTTCCCCAAACCCATCTGGGAACTCTCTCTTAGCCACCGTATCGCCACCCACATGCATGGCACTGCTAGTCAATGAGATACCCTCCTCATCAAATTCATCTCCTGTCTCCTCCGAGTACGCGTATCTGCATATCCCACAGCACAATAACCAACATACGTCACTCTTTTCTTCTTAAAAACAAAAAAACAAAAAAACAAAAACACTAATTCTATTGCCATCACTGTAGTTGAAAATGCTGACAAAATAAAGTGAATAAAGATAAGTGATAAATCTATTCGCAAAAACAAATATAGAAAGAGGGGTGGCCGCTAAAACAGCTAATTCGATCAATCAGCCATGTTCCCAAGTCCTAACTCCCAACCTAAACCAACCTACACAGGTTGGGTTGGGTTGGGAGAGCTATTGGTTTGGTATGGGTCGAGAAAATCTTGATCTAAAGGTTTTGGGTTGGTTTATGAATTGAGCATTACCCGTCTGCAAAAACTGAACCACACATACATATAAATATACTTTTCTTAGAAGTAGTTGAAGTCTAATTAATGTTGATGAACGATGAAGACTTCACCTTTTAGTTTTATTTAAGTTTATTTGTTATGATAGGTTGTAATACTACAATTTGATTTATTGCCTACGGCTAGAATTTGGTTAGGTTGTAATAAATATTTCATTCGACTATTTTATGGTATGATATGTTTATTTTAATTTATGATTTTATAATGAATTTATGAGATTAGTGCAAAAATGGACCTTCAAGAGTATTTAGAGGATCCAATCTTAGGCCCAATCCACAAGTTGGGGGATTTTTGGTTTGGTTTTGCGTTGGGAAAATCTTGATCCAAAATTTTTGGATTGGTTTGAAGATCGACTCCTAATCCACAAAACCCCATCCACGAACACAATCCTTCTTTCTTTTCTTTCTTTCTTTCTTTTTTTTTTTATTTTTTTTATTTTTTTATTTTTATGTCAATGTTAGAGTTTTTATGGACTTGTTGCTTCACAGAGAAACTCAGGAGACCAAAATTATTAACTGCATATATCCACCTTATGGTACAATCATATTTTCATTCAAGGAAAAATGAAGCCTTCCTGCCCTTAATGCACCACAAAGAAAATGAAAAATTGGAATATAACTCTTCCTAATCTTGGTTACGATCATATATTTGGTCAACATATATATTCAACAAGAAGCCTATAAGAAGTACACATTAAACAAACTATAACAACTAAATATAAAAAGCCAAGACAATAGTAAGACCAATTTAGCTTAATTTGCAAAAAGATTGACCAACTGAATTGAACCATAAGCATCCTCATTTGGCATTAGTTCTAGTCTTGTGCTTTTTCTGACAGCCTTGCGACGGTTCACAAGTATAGCTAAATATATGTTGAAAGCAATGAATCTACTTATTATTTTGAGGATCAAGAAGCAAAAGGATGCATACCATTTGTCGACCAATTAATGCATATGTTAAGCAAAAGGATCCTTAAGTACTTCACATACTCTAAAACATAGAATAAAGTCTTATCTAGTATTTTAACTTTGATCAATATACTAAATTTGTTTACACAGAAGCACTTACTCAAGCATTTCAAGCGTTAGTGCAGGGAGCCTTAGCGTTTGGTAGGAGGGAGGGAGAGATGGAGGGAAGGAGAGGGTGGAGGGAGAGGGTAAATTCTTTGTTGGTTAGAAGGAGAAGAGGAGGCAAAGGAAATATGGAGGGAGAGAGTCTCCCTCCGGGCCCACCATTTTGGATCCTTCCATTGATGGAAGGATCCAACCAATCCACTCTAAATTAAAAGAAAATGACTTTTTTACCCTTTAAAAGAAATTATTAACAAATAGCAAAATAGACAATATAGTAATTAAACAAATAACTATCATCTATCATCTCAACTCCCCCTCCCTCTTGCCAAAAAACATAAAGGATTATTATAATCTTCTCCATCCTTCACATTCTCCATCCCCCCAACTCTCTCCATCCTTCCTCCTCTCCATCCCTCCGACCAAACGGAGCCTCAGGAATTGCTATTTGAATAGTGCGTTTGATTCAGTTATGATGGTGCTTTCATCAAACTCTTGGTATGTTCACTCAATAAAAAGAAATCTATGTATGGCATATATATCCACATGTATACTCTGACACATGACTCATGAGCATGATTTAAACTGGAAATATTTACGCAGGAAAACATTAGCGATATATATAATAAAAAGGAAAGAAAAGAAACCGCTTAATCTTGCAAACAACGGATATCTGAACAACTACAGCCAAATATTACAAACTACTCTCTATGGAGGGGCAGAAAATAGCAGATGGCAATAAACAGGGAAGAAACAATGAACAAAGGAAATACCTCGTAGGGTTACGTGAAGGAGCCCAAAGAAGACAGATCACTGCCAGTAAGGAATATGCAAGCAGACTCCAGAAAGCTGGGATGATCCAAGCAATTTGCCAAAGCTCACTCAACGGGTCAGTTGCATTGAAGTACAGCTAAGACAACAGAAATTAGTGTAAAAATGATTATTAGTTTTGCACTAACACCAAATACATGAATCAATGACGTCAAAACCACTCCATGAGACCTAAATTTGTCATTTTGAACTCGTGGAATTGTTGATTACAATCAATACTTTTGTAACAGTTAATACCTCAAAGCCAATCCAAGCAATGGAGAGTAGCACAGATACTGCAAGAGAATTGGTAAATTTTCGGTAAAGCTCTAATTTAACCGTGTTTCTCCTCATCTGCATTCACAAAAATAAAAAGGGAAGATAACAGGTCATTTCAATCCCAGCAACAAGAGGAGTAATGTCTTCAGCGATTTGGAGATTCCATAAATGCAAACTTTCATTCAAGAATGCAGATAATATTACTTAGTATTGTGCCCATATTATTATGAATTTCCCATATCTAAGCCAAGAAAATCATAAAAAGTATGCGGCGTTCCTGCATAATGTATAAAGGAGAAGCCGCACCCACCACCACATTCATAAATCAATCCACAACACATATATACAGAGAAAAACATATAGAATAGTGAAATCACTGTATAAAATGATTGTATTATTCAAATAGCTATATGCAAAACAAAATAGACTCCAAAAGATTAAAGAAGTCGTAGAGAATCTAAAAAGCATAAAATTGCAACAACTAAAAAAGAACAACAAATTAACAATTACCTGAAGCTTCTCTAAAGTTTTTGATAATGATGAAAAAATCCAAAGAATAAACCAGGAATCCAAGAAAGCAACAGGTAGGACCAAAAATAGCTTTGTTTTTCCAGAAAAGTCATTTATATTCCCTAAATGCTCAACAAGCTCGAGAGCCTGTGATGCCACAAAGTATATTACACCAAGAAGAAGAACTTTCGATGTTATACCACCAAGAGTTGGTTTCACCACTCCATAGCCCATTGAAACCACCAAAAGAAGAAGACGAGACACAGTCTTCTTCACAGAGCTAAAGGTTACTGCCCACAATGTAATGCCCATTGGTCTCGTTCCTGTGGAATTAAAATTGGCATATTCAAAGTACCACACAGCCATTTCACACATACCAAGAGCAATGACAGCAGTAATATGGTAGTGCAGCTGTATAATATCCTTCCAAAACCGAACAAATCTTAGAAACCAGACTAGGCCAAGTACAAGGTAAGCTAAAGACATAAAGCCATAGAATGTCATCAAAGGAGCCATCTTCCCAGGCAAATAACCATCCGGGTTCCTCCACACAGTCCTACCTTTAATTAATGTGCCCTTGAGTTCGGGATCACAGAACATAAAATAAAGGTAGTACATTCCAGTCTTATTGATTTCAACCATCTGTGGACTCATACTGGTTTCCACATTCTTTCCTTCAAAAAACGTCTTGATACGCATAGGCCAGTCGGGATTGTCTTCGGATTTATGTATAATAACTTCTCCTAACTTACAGGATCCAGAGTTGGCAAGACCTGGGGTGCAGCATATCACATTGGATTTCAAAAACGACCCCCCAATCCTTTCCCTGTCTTTTACCTCAAGTATGATAGCTTCAACCAACCCAGTATTCTGTTGCATAGCGTTCTGCTTATTCGCTGAATCTTTTGTCCTCACAAAACTGACAGACTCAAACCTGAAATCCCCACTAGTGAGACCAACATCCACTACCCAAATCCAATCTAAACAAGAAATAAAAAGCATTCTACGCGAACATTTTCAATCAATTTAAGGGATTACCCACAAAAATCTTCAGAGTTACGAGTAAGTAACAGTTTAACTACAAAAATACTTATGACAGTTTTCAACAATTTTGTTATCCCTCTCATAGTTGCTATGGATAAACCTTAAACACAGTTTCTCTAATTGAATGTGTCTCGAATCTAGAGATTGGTTAATTTAATAATTGATATTTAAATTCAATCTTTAGTTAAATTATCTCCGATTGTCAAAGTTAATGAGCAGCAGTTTGACTACAAAGAACTTATCCGTTTTCATATATTTGTGTCTCTCTCTCTTACATTTGCTAAAACCCCGGTTCTCTGATAAAATATTCTAGTGGAAGCTGCAATTCAACTATTTGTTCCCCTTAAAATCAAACCATCAAATTAATTTTCAACTGCTCCAACAATCTCTTATAGTTGATATATATAAACCTAAAAATCCAGTTTCTCTAATTAATAGTCTCGAAGCCACAAATTCGTTAATTTAATTCTTAAAATTGAGACTATAGTTAAATTATCTTCCAATCTTCAAAGTTAATGAGCAACAGTTTGACTACAAAGTATTTACCAGTTCTCATATATTTGTGTTTCTCTCTCTTACATTTGTTACAATATCCGATCATCAGACAAATCAGCAACTGCTCCAACAAAAACGCCGATGAAAAAACAAAATCGCGATTAAAGAAGATCGTCTCAAATTGAAAGCTCAAAAAGCAAAACGAATCGTTACCTGATGAAGGACTTGCCCTTAAGAGGCTTATCAGGAGGAGAAGAAGAATCATGATCGGCAGAAGCAGAAGAAGAATCACGACGGATTTTAGAAGCATAAAGGCCTTCGCTTCCGCCATGGAAGAAGAAGGCGTTTTCCTGAGGAGTAAAGGCTTCTCTCCCGTACTCGTGAATCGAAGCGCTTGAAGAAGCCAACCAAAACCACCATATAATAAGAAACCCTAGCCCCAATCTCTTGAAACTCCATAAGAGCATTTCTTTCTCCGCCATTTTTTATACTAAGTTCGTCTGAGTCAGAGAGACTCTCTCTCTCTCTCTCTCTCTCTCTCTCTCTCTCTCCTCGTGACAGTTAGTTAGAAGCTGATGAAATGGGGAAGAAAGAGAGAGAAACCAAACCCAACTGAGAGTGGGCACTACTGACTGCAATTGGACTCTGTGCCTGTGGGGAAACTTGGGCCTTCTGTTAGATTATGGGTGAAAGCAACACAAATACCCCTTGGAACACTATCCTTTCATTTTTGTCCCCCATAACATTGACCCTTTTATTACTGCCCTTCAAATGGATTGGTTAATGATTAACATTGTATATAATCGAAATTATCCTTATTGATAAAAGAATAATAATATAAAACATTACAATTAATTCTCTACCAAATGTCTTCGAAAAGCGCCCTCTGGTCAGTGATCCTCGAATACTAATCTCATAGATTATTTTTTATAATCTACTAGATTATTCCTTATTTTTAACCCCCAAAAAAAGAAAAATTGTCTCCAATCACTAGAGAGTAATTTTTTAAAATTTTACTTTTATACGATTCATTTGGAGGTTATAAAAAAAATCATACCTTATATTTTGTATCGTTAATCGAATATATAACTTCAAATTTCAAGTTCATGCTAAATCCATTCATAAATATTAAATGAAGCATTTATTAATTTTCAACAACAGTTGTCGTCCCTGATATGACTGTGCATATCCTTATGACGATATTAAATGGTCACTAAGTTTTAACCATCTTGAGCGCCTACGTATTGATCATTTGACATTTTGCTTCCTTTATTTTTCTTTTTCTTTGATTTCATTGTAATGCTATAAAATGTTTAATGATTTACGTACTCTTTTAACGGGTTTAATTATAATCTATTATTTCTCTCTAAACGGGCAACTCGATTGGATCAACTTGAATTTTTTACTTTTAACTTACAATTTGATGAATATAATAAATAATGAAATTCAAAATTTTTTTTTTCAATACCAGCTAAAATTAGGAAAGGGCATAAATAATAAAATCATTTTTAAAGTTCAAGGGCATAAAGGCTTCCCTAATGTAAATTCATTATTGGCTTCCTCTGGCCATCTCCAAAGGTGGATATGTGTTGTGTAATGCGTCATTGGCAAGCTTTTTGCCTCGAGAATCCATCTCTTTTAAAAAGTATTTATTATGGAATAATAAGATAACGTTTAATTGGAGGATTCAAATCATGATTTGAATTATGATTCATAATTTATTATAGTGTTTTCTCTCACAAAAAATACATGTAAATAAAAAATAATTCTAATCACATGATTCTAATCCATGAATCAAACGTCTCCTAAAAACATGGTTTCAGACAATAATAGAGCTAGAAATTTATACCAACGGGATTAATAAGTTAAAATTTATTAGAGATTATAAGATTAAATTTTTAAATTTTACTAGGGCTATGTGCATATTATCATACTACATTTCTTATTTACATATATTTTTTCTACAAAACAAAATACTAGAATATAGCTTACTCCGTGCCTGTTAGAGTCTGGCACCATTCCTTTCATAGTTCAACCATTGTTCGACACTCGATGGGAAACAAAGGTCCCATTCGTCCATGCTCCCTGTTTTCTATTCTCAAAATTGTGTCTTCAGAGATGAGAACAAAAACTGTTTTTCATTTATTTTTAGAAATGTTTGGCAATCGTTTTATGAAAATAGTCTTTTAAAATAAAAACAAAATCAGGGAGATGGATATTATATTGGGACACTTGTTTTATGGTTGGAGGAATAAGTACTACTAAACGAATAAGTACAACGAAACGAATAAGTACTCATTCGTTTTTTTTTTCGAGCAAAAAAAAAAAAAAAAAAAAAAAAAAAAAACAAAAAAGGGGCTCAAAATACATTGTCCTAATTTCTTTTAGTTGCTCAATTTGTTTTGTTTTTTTTTTTTTTTTTTGTCAATATCTATTTAAGAGATCCATTCAATAAATCATATTCAGCACCGGTATTTCCTTGTCCATTATTCACGCTTCTTTGGTGGAACATCCAAATCCAAAACGATTTTATCATCCCAGAAATTTAGCACTAAAATAATGAGAAAATATAAATGAATAAAGCATCTAAAAAAAACAGCTTACATCATCCCATCTAAATTTTAAAAAAAAAAAAAAAGATGAAAAAAATGAAGAAAATTATGATAAATTTCTCACATTAAACAAAATGAAAACAAACCCGTATCATGAAATGCACAAAAGAAGAAAGCCCAGAAAACAAAATTAAGTAAAATTGCGTTTAAGAGAGCAATACCCGTTGTGAAGAATAGAACATAACAGAGTCAATGGCAACGCCTAGCTAGTAGTAAAAAGGATTGAAAAAGTAAAAAAAGATTGAAAAAGGATTGAAAAAGACACGGGGCATGTTTAGGAGAGCTTTTAAAAGCTGTTTTTAGCTTTCCAAGTCTAAAAATTATTTATAAAAATATTTAAATGATATGTCAAAAGTGTTTCAATTTTTTTAAAAAAACTTTCAATTAAAGTCACAAAATGAGATTTAAAAAAAAATATTTTTGAATAGACTTTAAAACTTATATCAAAGTTTCACTAAGGTAGTATAAACTTTATTTTAATTCTTTTATTAATTATTAGATAATTTTATATGAATCATTTGATTCATTAAGCTCTTAATTTCAAACACTTATTAAAAAGCAGTGGCTTTTATTTTTCTTGTTCTACTGAGTAAAAGCAAAAGGCCAAACGGGCTCAGAGTCTGAACAAGAAAAGCATTTTTCTTAAATCACAGCCGAAGATCCAAAATAAAAAGAAGAAAAGAAATGAAATTGTCCTACTTGTGAATTCTATGAAATACATGGATGATGAGTTGTCCTGGAATATCATAAACTAGAAATTAGGTACTTTGTCCTGTACATAAGAGCTACCATTTATATTTCATTATTTCAAAATGGTCACAAAAATGAAAACCTCCAAAATTGCATAATAAACCATCTTTTAAAAATTTTCCTAATTGCAAAAGAATCTTCATCAGTACAATACTTTTCCATACATGTATGTGTGTACAATACACAAACATGAAAAATGCTGCTTCGTCTGAAAGTGATGAAAAACAGCATCAGTTCAGTTGATTAGTTCAGTGATGAAAAACTCAATTCATTCAATTAAAATTAACTTCAAAGAAGATCAACTCCATCAAAACTTGGAGGTAATAGAAATGACAGAATAGTAATGCAAATATGACTCTGCCGCCACACAAGTGATGCTCTCAACATTGTGATTCATCGTAGCGCTAAGACTAAAATGATAAACTTACATTTATATTTTTGTCCACATAGAAATAGTCTATCCTACACTACAAATCCAAAAACTAAACCCTCCCAAATTGTGTAAAAAATTAACAGCCTCAAATCTGCAGAAGCGGAAAGGGGCATAAGTTAAAAACTTTTCAAATGGTTCATGAACATTCCTAGGCATTAACTGTACAGGTAATGATTGGTAGAAGGCAATATGGTTTTTCCCTAGCAAACAAATAGCAAACAAAGCACGAACAAGTTAAAGCCCCGTTTATTTCGCTGATTCGAGTTTAGAATTCGAGTTTTGCTACAATAAAAAGCTCTCACAAACAATCACATCTAACTTTTTTGTTACAGTAAAAAGCTCTCACATAAAATCACATCTCAACTCGAATTAAAAACTCAAATCAGCGAACTAAACGGGTCTTAAGTGTCTAAGAGAAAAAAGTAAAAATGATGAACAAAAAGTCACCCAAGATTACAAACGACACTGGAAAAGTTGAACTTCATTCTCATAGTATCAGTGAACCAAAATATCAATGACAATATTTGGATTATCTTTTCATTCATTGTTGTAATGGAAAGTATCATTTGAAAAATCATGGAAACAAGAAGATGTACCACTCAAGATGAAAAATATTATTTATATCATTTAATTAATAAATAAAAAAACAAAAAATCACAATAACATTTAATTATTTAAAATGACAAAAATAATAGGCACGGAATCACGACAAACATGTACTTTTCTCATTTTGTGTGTACCCATTGGCCCAAATAGAAAAACAAAAAGTTTATATAGTATTGCGTTTAACTAAATAATAAAAATCCATAAAACAGTCTTGAGGCTTTTGAGTTGCTGCGGGTTGTGCTGCTCAATCCTCAAAACGAGATCGCGTTGGAGTCAGAGAGAAATCCTGATATTTGATAACCCTAACAAAATGAGGACTGTCGTAGAGGGTCAAGATAGATTTCTTAGCGGTTTAGTATCCAAACACCAATTTTTGCCCTAGGAAAAACCTTATTTTTCCTATAGTTTTCATGAAGTAAAGTATATATTTAGGTAAACAGAAAATATTGCAGTGACGGTAGACCTAAAAAAGAAGAAAATTTATATGGTAGGGGAATCTACTTTTCCCCTACCGGTAGGGTACAAAATATCAACGGTTGCATTGTGTTTTAATGCTTCAGATCAAACTGATGCACCAATCAATTATCACACAGTTTACATGTGATTAACTAAAAAAAAAAAAAAAAAGAAAGAAAACAAAAAATTGCTGGTGCGTATAGAGATCAGATAGATAGGACGTTTTCTTCTTCACGGTGGCATTCTCTTCTGGGGGAGAAAGGTGTTACCCCTTTGAAGGGTTGGGCGTCCCTCTTACCGTTTCTTGTTCAAGCCAATCAACAAAATTCCCAAGAGCAAAAACATTTTAAAACCAGTTATTCACAAAAAAAAAAAAGAAAGAAAGAAAAAAGAAAATTAAACCCAGTTTCTTAGAGATTTAGCAACTGAGTTCCAGTAATTTTCCACCAAATCCGCCCCATCACAACAGATATGCACACCATGTATTTGATTCAAACTAATTCAAATTAAAGTTTCGTAATAATTTGATCTCTTGCAATTATACGTTGTTTTGAAATACATCTAATGTACTACCATGGATTTAACTAATAGAAACAATCATAACTAGAAAATGAATTCTGGAAAAAAGAAGCTGAAATGACCCACACTTGAGCTGTCTGAGCTAGTATTGCAAAGATTGCCGCCGCCCAGAGGGTCCACATGCGGTTGTTGTCGCTTGCTGGCTGAGCTCTGAAGATTTCTCTTTTATGCGTTAAGTAGATCTCGTCATACAGCGCCGCCTTCTCGATCTCCTCCGACGGAACGACGGTGGCGGCGATGAGGAGAGAGATCGTGGGAGAATCGC